GCAGGAAAATGGAGCGCAACTGGACGAAAACTAAACCAGGTATTTCGGATTTCATGGAAGGAGAGCTTGATTACTTACAGAGAGGCTTTAAAAGGCTTTGAAACAATCTACATTGTAAATGAGGATGACTTGACAGGTACATGTACCATCTGTCCTACGCTGAGCGTCAAAGAAAGCTAACACAGCACTTGTGTCTGTGGGGGAGAAGGTCACAGCATCACCAACAGCCCGATATGACCACCACGCCCAGCGGTGAGTACCATCCAGTTTCTGCCCAAAGTTGCACCTCTCACTCGCACACCTGTCCAAATTCTAACCCCAAAATGCAAGCGCTCATCGACTTCGGGTCTGCAGGAGCCGACCACGTGTAACCACACCAGCCCAGGACCTCCACATCCATCATCTTCACCTCCAAGATCATCTGAGTCCAGCCACCTGGACAGCTGTGAGGTGGATGGATTATCTCGGCAAAGGAGAAGTGCTCACTAACAGAGATTTAGACAGATTTGTGAACAATATTTGAGAGAAATAGCCCTTTTGTGTACATAAAAAAAGTCTTAGATCTTTGAGTTCAGCTCATGAAAAATGGAGGCAAAAATAAAAGTGTTGCGTTTATCATTTTGTTCAGTATATATATATGGTTGCAGTCACCAAAATGACATCTCAATCTTTTTTTTTTTTACTGCAAATGTCACATTTTACTGTGTAATTTGTGATTTTCAAATAGCCTAGACTCTCCCAGAACTGTGAATGATGCTGAAATACTGAATTCTGTGGAGGCTTCATGTCGCATTCCTGTTGTTTTTCAATGTAGAACTCAGACTTTTCATCCTCCTTAAGATCCAGAGGTATAGATTTAGTAAACAGTTTAGGTAGACATATTAAAACCTGGATTAGATTAGTCAAAACGCATTATCATTTTCAATTGTATTAAATTTTATAGTTAAAAATATTAAGCCAGGGTTAAGTGTAGAATGAAAATTATTCAGATCATAAATACGTGGAATAGGCTAGTTGCACGTGGCCGCCATTTTGGATTTTTGATCAGCGAGAGTTAGACACTTCCGGTTTCGCTTTACGCCCGGTGCAGGGAGCTGGAGAAAGCCGAAAATGATCTCTTATAGTTGTTTATAGAATCAATTATATCATTTAAAATACTACTAAGATATATTTTACTATCACATGAGCAAATGGCAATTAAATGCACAAATGCAAAGTCAGATTAATGAATGAAATACAACTGTTCATGCACGAACAGAAGATTGTCTTGGTCTCATGCATCATACGCAATGAGAATTATGCCTGCCTTCTGTAAACATGTAAGATTGAGAAAGGCCCTCGCTGATCAAAAATCCAAAATGGCGGCCACGTGCAACTAGCCTTCCACAGAAATTTGCGTGCTCATGAAATTTAAAAATGAACCTTCATTCAGTGGCGCCTCCAGAAATTTTTCATAGGGGTGGCCAGATGGGACCACTTAAAATCTTGGGGTGGCACACCAAAACTATAAACCATAATTTCAGAATTTTATTCTACTGTTGTAGTAAACCGGCCTGTAGAAAACTATCAGAAAGACTTAAGGAAACTCCTACTGATATACTTTGGTTTATTGTGTTATATTCAATGTTAGCTTACTAATGATATTAGTAGGGCCCTACTAATATATATTATATTATATATAATGATATATATATATATTATATATTTATATGGTATATATATATATATATATATATATACACTCACCGGCCACTTTATTAGGTACCCCATGCTAGTAACGGGTTGGACCCCCTTTTGCCTTCAGAACTGCCTCAATTCTTCGTGGCATAGATTCAACAAGGTGCTGGAAGCATTCCTCAGGGAGTTTGGTCCATATTGACATGATGGCATCACACAGTTGCCGCAGATTTGTCGGCTGCACATCCATGATGCGAATCTCCCGTTCCACCACATCCCAAAGATGCTCTATTGGGTTGAGATCTGGTGACTGTGGAGGCCATTTTAGTACAGTGAACTCATTGTCATGTTCAAGAAACCAATTTGAAATGATTAGAGCTTTGTGACATGGTGGAAGTAGCCATCAGAGGATGGGTACATGGTGGCCATAAAGGGATGGACATGGTCAGAAACAATGCTCAGGTAGGCCGTGGCATTTAAACGATGCCCAATTGGCACTAAGGGGCCTAAAGTGTGCCAGGAAAACATCCCCCACACCATTACACCACCACCACCAGCCTGCACAGTGGTAACAAGGCATGATGGTTCCATGTTCTCATTCTGTTTACGCCAAATTCTGACTCTAACATCTGAATGTCTCAACAGAAATCGAGACTCATCAGACCAGGCAACATTTTTCCAGTCTTCAACTGTTCAATTTTGGTGAGCTCTTGCAAATTGTAGCCTCTTTTTCCTATTTGTAGTGGAGATGAGTGGTACCCGGTGGAGTCTTCTGCTGTTGTAGCCCATCCGCCTCAAGGTTGTGCGTGTTGTGGCTTCACAAATGCTTTGCTGCATACCTCGGTTGTAACGAGTGGTTATTTCAGTCACTGTTGCCCTTCTATCAGCTCGAACCAGTCTGGCCATTCTCCTCTGACCTCTGGCATCAACAAGGCATTTCCGCCCACAGAACTGCCGCTCACTGGATGTTTTTTCTTTTTCGGACCATTCTCTGTAAACCCTAGAGATGGTTGTGCGTGAAAATCCCAGTAGATTAGCAGTTTCTGAAATACTCAGACCAGCCCTTCTGGCACCAACAATCATGCCACGTTCAAAGTCACTCAAATCACCTTTCTTCCCCATACTGATGCTCGGTTTGAACTGCAGGAGATTGTCTTGACCATGTCTACATGCCTAAATGCACTGAGTTGCCGCCATGTGATTGGCTGCTTAGAAATTAAGTGTTAACGAGCAGTTGGACAGGTGTACCTAATAAAGTGGCCGGTGAGTGTATATAAGGGCTCTTGCCCGGTGGCAAATTTCCAGATACTTACATAATTGTGATGAATTTAATCCTTTTTAAGTTATTATTTTGCAGTGTAAGATTACAGTTAACACCTTTAAATATTACATAAATGTACTATGATTTTTAAAATAAACTTAATGAGTGTATAAATCAGCAGCAAAAAGTAATTCTTGAAAAAATCTGAACAGTAATTTTATAAAATCTAAATATGTTAATAAAAACAAATTACTATTAGTCCTCTTATAAAATTCAATCAGGCAATCATACATTTCACAATTTTATATTTATATATTAATGTCAAGAATTCAGAAGTGCATATATAGCCTACACTACAAGGAAATAATATACAATTAAATTATGCTTATTTCAAATGTATTGAGCAGGCTAGGTATAACAAAATATATTGGCTTTTAATAATATTTCAGTGCGCAAACCCATGATACCATGAAAAACAGAGCGCACACAGCGTGTATGCGCATCACGGGTGCAGAATGATGTGCTCAAAGCAACATGGTGACTCTGTGTGCAGCGCTGCCTGCGCTGCATAAGTGCGTATTTAAAAGTTCACGTCACAAAGCGAAGAAATGTCGAGCGCACAAATCCTAGTGCGATTTGTTCCTTTGTGTCAGTTTTATATTCCAGTTATTATGCGTTTGATGCCGATTCATAGTCCTTGTGATGTGTGTGTGATGATCTAGCAAGCACACGGTAGTGAGTCGTTTAAAAACAACAAACTCCAACAAAATAAAGTAATTTTAGGCAAATCTACAGCCTTTTATCTACAGATCATGCATTATAATGTGAATATATAATTTGGAGAGAGTTTTACCGTGCATCCAAGAGGCGCGCGCGCTGTTTGAATATGAATGGAGAATGATTGACAGCCGCAGAGGAGGGAAAACGAGTTTCCGTATATACTTTAATGATGTAAATAGACTTCTGTCCCTCACATTAAGCTATGGAATGACTTCAGATGACTTTGTCACCCAAACTGACGTAAAAAAAGCGGGAGGCGCCGAAAAGCGCGCTGTTTGCATCCCTGCTTGTCAAAACGTGGCAAAGACACATCAAAAAGCTGCTGTAACAGTAGTATACTGTAACCATTTGGCACTTAAAAAGCACGTCACGACACATAATGCCCCGTCTTCTTTTACTAAAGAATATTTTTGACTTATTTATGAAATGCATAACTGATGATGCTACTAAAATTTATTCTGGCCGTTGGGGTGGCCAGTGGGGTGGCCAGGAGTCGGCCCTGGCGGCGCCATTGCCTTCATTTCGTTTTGCTGATTGACTTCCATTAGTTTCTCGGCCTCTTTATATAACAATTGCTTATAATAATTAATATACGAGAGTAAATAGTGTAATTTCAGAGAGACTTGACACCTCTAATCGAATTGGAACATGAAGTTAACGGAGACGTTTTTGTTTAACTTACTGACCAAAAGAGAAGCACGTCCCGCTAATTCAGTGGTAAGAAACTAATGTAATGTTATGCTATAGTTAGTCACATAATTGTTAGTAATTTTTTTAATGTTGTAGGCTGGTTTTTAATGTTAATTATATCCTGTATTGTCTAATCCTCCATATGACGGTTAAGTAGGCTACGTTACTGTTGTCCATTCAACCGGTTTGAATGCCGCTTAACTTATACCATATGTGATGCAGGAGAATGTGTTGAAAAAAAAAAAAAATTCTGCAAACCTGAAAAAAAAAAAAAAAACTATTCTATTTCCGTAACAAAATGTTTCCTGGCTAACCAAAAACAAACTTTGCAAATGTTTTGGGAATGTCTGGGAACCACAAAACTAACGACAGATAGATAGGTTTCTTACTCAGTACTACAAGGCACAAATAATATGCTCAATAAAGACAGAAGGACTTCTCTTTATTTTACTTGCCAAAACTTCTCGAGAGCGCAACTTATCCAATAATCGATTAACCAGCCTGCGCGTTCTCTGTGTTATTGCCCGCCCGTGCGGCAGGTGGCGCTGTCAGATGTTTTTGATGAGGAATTGTTTTGTTCACACGTCCCACGTGTTAGGTGTATTTTATTCACATACTTCATAACAGTCTCAAGAGGAAAGCAATTCTCCGTAAAGCAGTGAGCCATGGATGATGTAGAGGCTGATGGTTTTCCACAGGATGAATTGACAAATCGGGAACTGGTTAAATCGCCCGTTAACCTCGAATTGTGGACAGATGACAAAGGTAATTTTACGATTATATCATATGCTAACTTGTTGTTTATGTTGTAAAGTGTTAGTTAAAATTGGATATCAAAACGAAGTCCATGATCACTGCAGAGCAGAGTGCAACACCAGATCTGGGGACCGAGAATGACACGAACACAGAAGTGCAGTTCACTCTAAGTCAGCTTTATTGTGCTCATGCCATAGTTTATATAGCAAGTCTAGGGTGTTTGCTGATACCAACAAATAGAACTGCAAGTCAATATAGAAAAGAAAGGAGAGCTTCGCTGAAAGAGTAATTATACCATATGCATTGTTGCTTATAACTTATAATAACTAACATGCCCGATGAGCGTGACTAAACAGGGTGTACAAGAAATGATTAAATGGACAGAAAAGGAGATGCAAACATATTTATCCTAACATAAAGTCATATCAATACTACATTTGTTTTCATGTTTAGGAGTTCCCACAGAGATCTTCTTCACCAAGTCGAACAGAAAGTGTCTGAAGCGGCTCAGAGATGCGATGCTGCTTCATAACTGGCAGGAGGCTGCGGTTTATTACAACTCTTACATTCAGGCACTGGAGGCCAGGAATAGCATTAAAGTGCATCCAACGGCTTCTGAGGTACAACAGCCCTTTAAACTCTGCCAAGTCGACTTATAAGCTGCTTAGAGTGCTAACTGCTAAGAGATTTTTTTTTTTTTTTTTTACGAATTATGAAATCAGTTTTTAAATGGTTGATTCACTTTGCATTGCACTTGCACTGAATAAACATAACATGCATTAACGTTATCTGTATTGTTACACTGTTCATTGCATCCATAGCCTGTCACTTAAAGTTGCTTCTCAACAAACAGATTAAATAAATATTAATAATTCGTATAATGCAACAAAGATTGTAAAAGTAAACGGATTTAAATAGACCTATCAATCTCTGTGTATAAATAAAGTAAAATGATGCTGCCATCTTTCTAAAGGAAATTTGGCTCCAAATCTCATGTGAAATTTGTAATTTTGACCCTCTCTACAAAATAGTGAATTACTCCGTAAATATACATTCATGAAATTTAATATTATTATTAATTTTTTTTTTTTTACTATTTATGTTTGTCTTTCTTCAGAAAAAATATTTACAAAAAAATTTGAAAATTTGAGCCATGAAAGTTGATTTGACATGGAATGACCCCCCGTATATGTGCTTGCAAAGCCAAGACAAGTGGGTTGTTACCTGGTTTTGTTCAATACTAGTTAATAGGGGTGGTGAAAAAAATCGATTATTGATTAATCGCGAGTATGTTATGGACTAGTATGAATCGATTATTCAATTTTAAAAAATCGATATTTTTATTATTTAACATTTTTTTTAAAAATTTGCATTTTATTTTGTAAAAAATGTTATACCGGAAGTTGAACGTCACGAACGCGCCCAGTTCCAGTTAGCAAGCGCGTGTAACGGCAGCCAGAGCGAGTGAGAGCAGGTATATTATAGCAGGTATACAATATTTATGTATCCCAGGTACGAGCGTTGCTGCAGAGAGAGTGTTCTCCACTGCGGGAGACATCGTGTCAGCACAACGGAGCACACTCACGCCACAACATGTGGACCAGCTGGTCTTCCTCCATAAGAATCTGGTCATTCCAGAGCTGTGAATGTTTAGTACAACTTGATTACTCACAAGTTAGTGTGTTGCATTTTGTCACTGTGTTCTACAGTACAGTATATAAGCTGAAGCTACAGTAAGTTGTTAAAAAAATTTCATTTTGTCTTTTTAATGATTAAATTGGACAATTTTCTTCTAGAAAGACAAGGTGTTCAGGTGGAGAGAGAACTTTTTCTTTACCTTGACATGTTTCGACTGCAACCTGCAGTCTTCCTCCACCTGAACAACACCTTGTCTTTCTAGAAGAAAATTGTCCAATTTCTACAGTATGTTGGTTCTGATCTACTTCCTAAAGGAAATAAGCCTTTCATTTATTTGTTATTGTTTAGTTCAACTTGAAGAGTCACAACACAATGTGATGTATTCATTTCTGTGTTCTACAGAACATAAGCTACATACAAATAATTGTGAAGTTATAACTACACGACACAGAAAGTGCTTTGAGTTGTTGTTACTCAATAAAAAGTCATTCAGCAGCTGACTTTTTTTAATACTGCAATCACTTTGTAGTGTATTTTCGTTTACTGTTGTGATATGGAAAATCAATAATCGCTAATCGAGAATCGTTAATAATCGAAAAACGACTGTAATCGAATCGGGACTTCAATAATCGAAATCAAATCGGGAAATCAGACAGATTAACCACCCCTACTAGTTAAATGCACTGTATAAGGATTAACATTGTTTTGTAAGTATTATTAGTAAGCTTTTTTAGGCCATGCATTTTTCTTATCATAAAACCATGAAACCACTTGATGATTTGTTTGTATTTTCCTGCTGGATCCTCCTATTGTGTGTTTACTAGGGCTGTTTTCGACTAAGGATTTTCATAGTCGAATCTGATTCGTTAGATTTTGCTGTAGTCGACTGATAGTCGAACCTTTTCTTTCTTTTTTTTTTGATGGCAGCTAGTCGTTCGTTTGAATAACTGTTCGTCTGTTATAGGACAACTCGCTCTACGTTTATTTAAAATGAACAGCAAGACAACTAGAAGTGAATGAATGTGCTTTCCATTAAAGGTGCCCTAGAATGTTTATTTTTTATTTTTTTATAATGTTTCCTGGGTTACCCTTATAATGTTAGTATGTTTTTTAGATAAAAAATAATCATAATTTAGAAATAAATGGCATTTTTCCTAGCCTGCTTTTAGCCTCTGATTTGAACACTCTGTTTGAAGGGGCGTGTCTGCTGTGGGATTCAGTGTAACCGCGGCCACTGCTGTGATTGGCTGACATGCTTGCATATGAAATAGCAACGCATTACATGTGAAACTCTCTCCCGAATACTTTTACTACTGCTATTATACGTTTTTACTATAACAGCTATCGAGATTAACGAATCGTGAGATGTTTTTAAAGTATTTAGATCTATTCCCATCACATAAAATGTTGCCGTGATGAGCATTGAGCAGATGACGTGTTGATCGCGAGAATGAAGATCTTATCATTGCAAAGCAGTTTCTGCACTCTCTCTAATGCTTTCACCAATGCAAACACGATGATGTAAATACAGTAAGAGCTTCGTTGTGCAGTAACGTGCGTCATTGATTTCATAACGAGTTTGGCAAGTGTCCAGATAAACTCGCGCTGTGTGGAAAGATTGTTCTTTGATCGCTTTCTGTATATAATTTGTTCACAATTTAAATACGATTATTTTCATCCTACTAAAAGAAACGATGTGAAGCTGATATTTTAGTCACTGGCTTGATTTACTGATGCATAAACAGTATTGAACGATTTTGAGAGAAAGATTACCTGTCTGAACTTGAACAATTACACATCAGAAAGTGTTGCTTGGTAGCTCGATCCGAGGCCAGCTCTGTATTGGCCCAAGTTGAGGAAACAGTCGGTGAAATGTTTGGAAATTTCCAGAGAAAATAAAATTAACCCATTGTTTCTTCAGAGGCTCAGATGAAGGAACTAAAAAATACTTTTGTGTTCATGTGTACATCCACACTGAGCAACTGCCATGCTTCGGCTGCGCAGTTCCGCCTGGCATTGAGGGCTGGCATTATGCAAATATTTTGAGGCGTACATATTAATGATCCCGACTATTGCGTCACAGTCGGTATTGTGTGGAGAACTGACCGTTTTTCAGGGGTGTTTTTCATAAACGTGAATTAAATGAGAACGCGAAAACAGTCCAGTTTGAGATTCACTCTATGTCATGTCCATGCACTGAACTCTTGTTATTTGACTATACCAAGGTAAATTCAATTTTGAATTATAGGTCACCTTTAAATGAATCCTTAACAAAAAAAATAAATTGCAATGAACGTGCTTTGTTTTAAATAAATCACACACAGTAAACAAAACCTTAACAAAAAAACTTTGCAATGAACTTTGCAATTTAGACGCGCAAATTGCATGCCGGTGCAGTGAGACGTAGGCCTACATGCTTGGGCAGATTCGGCCTGAAGTCGTTCATCCTCGGATGCGGCGTCGCGCGTGCTGTTACAAAAAAAGCTGTGCACACAGCCAAGCGAAATGGGGTCTTGCCGGTCTTGCGCACCCAGCGCGTCATTTTTTGCCGTGCGCACCTTCGCGCTCGTGCGGACGCGTCGAGTATAAACAAGGCTTTACTCCGTGTCAGCGCGCGCTCTGATCGGTAAAGGGGCACAGACCTCTCCCGAATCATCTCCAGCATTCAGCCTCCGAAGCACCACTAACTCCGCCTCCGTTTCCCTCGTAAGATGATATTAGTATGTAAACATTCTCTATGATGATAAATGTTTGTAAAAAATATTTTAATAGCACGGTTTCGGCGGTTATAGAGTTCTAATGACGGTGTTCAACTATAACTGTCGGTCTCACGGTTATATAATAACCGTCACACCCCTATGTTACATAACACTTCCCTACTATTCGACTATGAGGTTCATAGTCGAATCAGACCTCTCCGAATCGAATCGTCGAATCCTCGACTATTAGAAGTCAGCCCTAGTGTTTACTACTGTCTTGTGTGTGTTTGCTACTGTACGGATGATGCCATTGTGTTTCTCTGCTGAATACATAATTCTGTCCATCAGATCACATGGAGAATAGGCACAGAAATTCTGCGTCATCTCCCTAACGCCACCGCTGAAGATTTCAACGCTGTAAATGAACAGTTGAAAAACAATGGAGTCAAAAACTTCTCGAAGGTATGTATTTTATTAAGAAGCCCAAACCTCCCCTTTACGACATTTACACTGCATTCAAGGCATGCATTTTAATCAGTATGTGATGTGAATGTTGTAGATCTGTTTGGAGCATTGCTTTCATCTCCTACTAAACGGGCAGATGGAAGAAGCCAAGCGGCAGCTGTCCGTCGGAGAGAGCTGGAGATATGGCAACTTCTCGATTGCTCAGGGTGAGGCCAAAAATCTCATCCGTGCGTACAGCGGTTTCCTAGATTACTTGATCTGGTGTGAGAAGAAGTCCTCTACAGCTGGAACCGGTAGGAAGATATTTGAGTTATGTTGAACAATTAACTGACAATGTAAAATGGGTCTTCCTAACATCTATAGTAAAGGATGGATTTTTTTTTTTTTTTTTTTGTATTTGAATATGCCGGGGTTTTTTTCCAAAGTCTTGAATATGTTTTTGGGCTCTAGTAGAACAAGTTTTCATGCTTGAATGTTTAAAAGACACTTTATTCTCCATTGTTGGAGCTCCTCTCTTCCCAGTCTGTCAGTAACACTCTGGGTGCTTCTCATTTCTTATTTGTGCATCCTCGTTTCCTTTCCTCGCTTCCTTTCCTCGCGTCTCAGCTCCACCCCCTGTAGGACGCGAGGGAAGGCTGCAAGGAAAGAAAATGAGGACGGAGGAATTGAATGAAAGCTTTTTTATACATTGGAATACTTGATCACTCGAGCGTCACTTCACTGCGTCATCAGCAGTGCTCAAAGGATCTGCCCTTATGTTGTTAAAGTTTGTTTATTTAAGAAATTCATAATAAATAATAATAAAGCAAGATACCTAGTTAAATTATGAGAGTTGTGTGGTTTATGTAAAATACAAAAGTAAAGTATAAATTCAAATGATTGTGACAGATGTGAAGGGGGAGGAGAATTGATACGTGCGTCACGTTTAGTCGATAAAACTCTTCCGCAAAGGGTACACCTGTGTATCCTCGCTCATAGCTCCTCTGGAAGCCTCCTCACTCCTCGATCCTCGCCTCCTCGCGGTGCAATTAGAGAATTGAGATGTCCTTCAAGATGGCTCGATTGGTTTCCGGGTCATAGGATGGAGGACGGAGGAGCGAGGAGACGAGGAGGGATATTGAGAAGCACCCTCTGTTTAGTTTCTGTCTCTATGAAGCTCCTCCTTCTGAAAAGCACAATGTGCTCTGATTGGTTGGCTGGATCGGTGTGTTGTGATTGGTCGAGCACTTCGAGCGTATTTGGGAAATGTCCCGCCCCTTATTATAACTGCCAATTTCAGCACACTACTAACTAACTCAACCAGGCCCCGCCCCTTTATTCTGGATATGAATTATTCAAATTAGGAATTATTGTGACGTGTTCGTTCGCGGAAGAAACTCAAGGCTACAATTAAGGCACTCAATTTTCCGCTCTATACAGGGCTCCAGACTAACTTTTCCACTGGTTGCACTGGTGCTACCAACTTTCTCAGTTGGTCGCACCATCATATGATTTGGTCGCACCTTTTTTTTTTTTTTTTTGCTACATGCCATGGGATTAATCAATGCATGCTGATGAATAGTGGTTTTAATGGACCAAGGCTAGCAAAGGCTTTCTGGGTTGCAGCAGAAATACCTGTAATATATTAATTATCATTGCCAAATTTCAGGATTTTCATGGATTTTGGACAGTAATTTTAATCTGTAATTTTAAGCATTTTACATTTGAATTATATACAATCTACACTCACCGGCCACTTTATTAGGTACCCCATGCTAGTAACGGGTTGGACCCCCTTTTGCCTTCAGAACTGCCTCAATTCTTCGTGGCATAGATTCAACAAGGTGCTGGAAGCATTCCTCAGGGAGTTTGGTCCATATTGACATGATGGCATCACACAGTTGCCGCAGATTTGTCGGCTGCACATCCATGATGTGAATCTCCCGTTCCACGGGTTGAGATCTGGTGACTGTGGAGGCCATATTAGTACAGTGAACTCATTGTCATGTTCAAGAAACCAATTTGAAATGATTAGAGCTTTGTGACATGGTGGAAGTAGCCATCAGAGGATGGGTACATGGTAGGGGTGTAAGAAAAAATCGATACACTTGAGTATCGCGATATTTTATTTTGCAATACTGTATTGATTTTCAAAAACGCAATATCGATTTTTTTTTTTAGTTTACGTGCAAAAATATTCATACTATTGCCGTGGTTCGCGTTTATGTTGTGTTTAAATCCCTACCACTAGATGGCTAGAATGAGACGCACCACTAGTGTCCTCGCCTATAGTGTCTATGATTTTGATTAATATGCGCGAGGGAGAGAGAGCAAGACAGCGCGCGTGTTGTTTGAAGACGTGAGAGTGCGCGCGCGCGGCCGGGGCACTCTCTCTCTCTGTCTCTCTCTCTCTCTGCTCGTTTGCGTCCTGTCAAGCGCAGCAGTCTTTCTATTCTACATCACTCACCGATAAAAAAAGGCTTTGGCGGGACACAAATTTGTTTTGGCAGCCGCTAAAAAGCGGACGATTTGACGGGTTTTAAAAGATTAAATACAACCCGAAACTAAAAAACAGACCCCGCCTCTATTTGAGACTGGCCTTTATTTACCCAAACCTGTCGCCACTCGCCACATCAGGCGTGTAAAAGAGACCGGCGTCTATATGGGACTCGCTATTATTTGAAGTTTTACGGTATGTGTTGGATGTACCCTGTATGAATAATAGTGCAAGCATTTTTTTAATGACAGATTGCCCCTCAGATTGCACCTTATGTGTTATGCATTAGCCTAGATGTCACAGTAAGGGGCTATGTATTTTCTTTAACTGACTATTTATATATTTGTTCCTCAATGTTTCCTTTAGGAATTGGGGATATTCAAATTAATTAACCAATCATTAATACCATTGATCAGCCCTACCTAACGTGGATGTTTTTTCCACTAAGAAACAAACATTGTTATGTTATTTTGATTTATACTGTGAAGCTTTGATACAATTGTGAAAAGCGCTATATAAATATACTTGACTTGACTTGAATTGTGTTCGTGTTTTTGCAACACAAAACGTGTTGGATGTACCCTGTGTACTAGGAATAGTGCAAGCATTTATTTATTTTTATTGACATAGACAGATGTCTTTTCTTTTTTCAGATTGCACACATGTGTGTATGTTATGTATTGTGACAGGGGCTATGTATTTTCTTTTATTAAGGCCTACTTGAGCATATACAAATTTGCTCACTAAGAACCTGTGAACCACAATCCCAAACTGGCAGTTTGATTTTCTGTGTACTGAATTGTTTATCTAAAGTAAACTTGTTTGAATTTTATGCACATCATGTCTTTTTTTTAAATAATACTTTCTAAAATTGTAGTCCTACTTTAAAAAAAATCGCAATATATCGCCTTATGCACAGTATCGAAATATATCGCAATATATTGAATCGTGACCCATGTATCGCGATACGTATCGTATCGCCAGATTCTTGCCAATACACAGCCCTAGTACATGGTGGCCATAAAGGGATGGACATGGTCAGAAACAATGCTCAGGTAGGCCGTGGCATTTAAACGATGCCCAATTGGCACTAAGGGGCCTAAAGTGTGCCAGGAAAACATCCCCCACACCATTACACCACCACCACCAGCCTGCACAGTGGTAACAAGGCATGATGGTTCCATGTTCTCATTCTGTTTACGCCAAATTCTGACTCTAACATCTGAATGTCTCAACAGAAATCGAGACTCATCAGACCAGGCAACATTTTTCCAGTCTTCAACTGTTCAATTTTGGTGAGCTCTTGCAAATTGTAGCCTCTTTTTCCTATTTGTAGTGGAGATGAGTGGTACCCGGTGGAGTCTTCTGCTGTTGTAGCCCATCCGCCTCAAGGTTGTGCGTGTTGTGGCTTCACAAATGCTTTGCTGCATACCTCGGTTGTAACGAGTGGTTATTTCAGTCACTGTTGCCCTTCTATCAGCTCGAACCAGTCTGGCCATTCTCCTCTGACCTCTGGCATCAACAAGGCATTTCCACCCACAGAACTGCCGCTCACTGGATGTTTTTTCTTTTTCGGACCATTCTCTGTAAACCCTAGAGATGGTTGTGCGTGAAAATCCCAGTAGATTAGCAGTTTCTGAAATACTCAGACCAGCCCTTCTGGCACCAACAATCATGCCACGTTCAAAGTCACTCAAATCACCTTTCTTCCCCATACTGATGCTCGGTTTGAACTGCAGGAGATTGTCTTGACCATGTCTACATGCCTAAATGCACTGAGTTGCCGCCATGTGATTGGCTGCTTAGAAATTAAGTGTTAACGAGCAGTTGGACAGGTGTACCTAATAAAGTGGCCGGTGAGTGTATCATTATCTATCTATCTATCTATCTATCTATATCTATCTATCTATCTATCTATCTATCTATCTATCTATCTATCTATCTATCTATCTATCTATCTATCTATCTATCTATCTATCTATCTATCTATCTATCTATCTATCTATCTATCTATCTATCTATCTATCTATCTATCTATCTATCTATCTATCTATCTATCTATCATCTTTCTATCTTTTAAAAATCATTAAACACTCAAATGTATGCATTACATTTTAAAAGATTACAGTATTATAATAAACTGATACAGATTTTTCGTTATCAAAGTTTATAGTTGTAACAAAGCAATCTCACACTCCTTACCTTCTGCATTTTATAATAATTTCCTTTTCCTCTGTCGAGCGATCATGAGAGTAATCGCTCGGCAGAGGAAAATATAACCGCTGAGAGACGTAGGAAGGGGCTCTGTGTTTCGTGAGACCATTTTTATCATTTTTATATGCCTTAATTCGTGAATTCGTAATTGGCGCGTTTGACAATCAGTGTGCAATGCGCGTGACGTCTACGTTCGTCAATAAATAAACTACACGTGTCTTGCGGAAGAACATTGTAGACGGAACTTCTCTCCGTTAATCTCTATGGCGAGTCACGCAGGCACTGGGCTACTCCGTAGCCGAGACGAGACGACCCCGGGATAAAATAGTCCGAATATACACACTTATTATAGGCGTACCGTAGTGATTCAGAATAAGTCAAAAACACGGTTTGGAAAATGGATTCATGATGTAGCCTACTCGTTCATTTTGAACATAAGTTACGGACTGCAGCAGCTGATACAACGGCGTTCTGTTGCTCAAGCGTCCACTCGCACAAATGCGACCACATAACATTTTAACTCGCACATTCTCAAAAAATGGTCGCATATGCGACCAATTTGGTCGCAGTCTGGAACCCTGGCTCTATACCAATGCGCTCGGC